TCTATTGATACAAGTTCGTGTGTTATTAAATAATAATGACATTATCGGATTTACACAGTTAAAATACCCACTCATTGGATCATTATGTCTATAATTATAATTAGTTACTCCACGGACTCTTTTAAGTATCAGTATTTAACGACATAAATATCTTCCTGCCTAAAGTGGACCTGTCTCATATTTGCATGTGTAATGTTTCGCTTTATGTTATTATGTTTTTATTAATATAATTAAAAAAATCTTTGTGGTACGTCATACCATATACATATTTTTTATTCGTTTATACCTCACTTGCAAACACATCTTTATGTGCTAATCGTTTTTATCCAAGCACTCACTCAACAGTAGCCGAAACTCGCATATGTAAAAGTGCAATCCGTATTTATTTTCCCAGGAAAATGTATCAGGATATTTAGTTTTGAGCTTGTCTATCAAATATAGACTAACATTTATGACACTACAGATTTTTTCGTACGATATTCACAATATTACTGGCAATGCTAAGTGTAAGATCCTTTATGGATGTTTTGTGCGATTCCGCATAAATATTTCGTCCACTCAGACACCATTTTAATTTAACTTGTTGCTTTATTTTTAAATCTGAAGCTATTCTTCTTGATCCTTTAAGATGTACATTCCTTTCGTCTTTTGATTCCAAGTGAGAAGGTTGCCATTTACATTTTATTATGGTTTTTTTACTCTACTACTAAATTTCTATGATTCTAAATCTACGTTTCCATTTGACATTTTGGTTATAACGTTGAGGTGTTGCTTCTCTCCCTCTTTTGGTTGTGTTACTTAAACTGACTAAAACTGAGCATTTTTTGATTATGAATTATAGTAAATATCCAGAACTGAAAACGCTCATTGCTGCATAAAGTAATTAAACTTTCAGTTCTTAATGCTCTTTGTGACTGATGTTTTCATTATCTTTAGAACAGACTGTATGTGATCTGTTTGAAGAGGAAAGAACAATATTCATGTACTAATAGAAACTTTTATTTTTGGAACTGATAATTACCATATATCCCCCAATAATTTATCTACTTAACTTTATTTAGATTTGATCATTTCAGTTTGTTGAACGATTGTTGATTAAATAACTTGATGGTATTATTTATTTCGATATTAACTCACATTTACATTTAAAACTTAATGTAGAACTTTCTTTTATCCAGGAACAAGCATTTCAATTAACATCCACAGTGATTACTGATTCTAAAGATCTTTAATTTAGCGCTGACGGAAAGTATTAAAATTCATCTCGCGGACACGTTCATTAGTACTAGTGAGATCAACAAGTCATAACATCTTTAAACAATTCGTTCGGTTCAGTGAATCTGTAGTGGCATTGGGCCCTAATACGAGAAAGGGTGGGAAACAGACATTCAACATTTAACACAGAGAAAAACCCAACGATGGAGAGGGCGGAAAGAATGAATTGAATTAATTGGAGTTGATCGTATGGCATGGCTCAGTCACGCAGGCGTGGTCCCTGCTGAACGTTACCTTATATCTTTCATTCATAATAAATATAATGTTCTATTTCTAGCCTAAGTTTGTTCTCTATTGCGTATTGGTAATTGTTAAGATGTAGTGAGTTGGTGTAGACGATGATGTGACTTCCACGTAATATCTTATAGATTAGGCAGTTATATCATGACAAATCTACAATTACAGGATCAGGTCTGTTATTAGAGCAGTACTAATATCATAGTAGACCATAATTCTTCAAATCTCTGCCAGCCACATAAATTATGCTTTGGGTCACACCCAAAAATAACTACTATTCTGGTCTTGTGTTTGTGTGGTGTTTGTACGGAATAATGATTCCTTTGTACTTGTTGAATGCTTGGTTTTGAATTTCAGATACAATACATTCGTTTGTGCTTATCGAGTACTTCTTGATTAAATTACGTTATTCCTGGTATTCATAATTTGTACTTTAATTCAAATACTTCTAATTATCACATTTTGTACGGACTAATGATTTTTCTGTACTAGATTGCCTGCCCGTTACGAAATTCATATACATTACGTTCGTTTGTGATTATCTAGTTCTATCTGGCTTAAACTGCACTATTTAGGGAATTTCTAGTTAGTACGTTAATTCGATTAGTGCTGATCATCATATTGGCATCACGGTGGAGCCTATGATTGAACAGTGAGATATACTTTCAAATTGGAAAGTTTTTGAGGATTGCATACAAAGATTTGAAATCTGGACTATGACTAGGAAAGATGTTAGGGGCAATGAAACTGTGGCTCATTTATTCACATTCATCGCAAAGGATGCCTACAGCCTACTAAAAACTTTGGCATTCCCAGAAAAGTTTATTTCAGCTCCCTGTACAACTTCCAAGGAACTACTATTAAATCAAGTAAAGTATGCTAGTTTCGAATGACGTGAGAAAGTAAAATTTCATAAACTGATTTGCCAAGACAACCCAAAGGCTCGAGAATTTATCCTTGAATTGTGTAAACAGGCTGCCAAGTGCAATTTCAGCAATTAACTTCATGTGCAGCTGCGTGATCGATTGACTGAAGGGATTGACATACCAAATCTGGAAAAAAGCCCATTCAAATTACGAAGTGTTCTTTTCGAGATGCCAATAAATACCAAGTCTGCTACTACTGCAAAATTAAAAGACCGGAAGAGGATGGTAGAGAACGTCCCTCAGCGCAGAATTATTGGATCGAACGCAAAGGAAACAATGATGACATTGCTTAAACAAAATAATCTTCGTGAAAGAATTCCTCTAGATTCTATGGGAGGTCTGATGAAACAGGTCAATAAATACAAATACACAATGAACCTGGGGAGAAGTACAATTGATCACATGAAGTTGGATTCTCACTTAAGATATAGCGGATGTGGTATTTGATTTGTCGCATGCTACGAATTCCAGATACAATAGGTTCATTTGTCCTCATCTAGTTCTACTTGCTGTAAATTGCACTATTTAGGGAATTCCTAGTCAGCACAATAATTCAGACACTCCTAATTATCATATCCGGACATCTCTCCGAAGTCACTCTCCTGTTCTTTCGGCTATCCCGCCTATGCATACTCAAAATGAAACCGATACATTTGCACATCATGCACACATCTATAAATCCTTTTGGTGTGCGTCATTCGTGTCGACCGACATAGGCCCAGTAGGTCTCTGGGGCGCACGCGTTGAACGTCCCGGATACTGGGGGAAATCGGATTTGCTCAGTGCACTCTGACACGGATACAAAACACGGATATGGTGAGGTGTTGAGATTGAATAAAAAATAACACTCTCATAGTCGAAATTCATTCATTTAAATGCCCTACGATCCAAGATACTGCACATTTGCTGAACATTTCAGAAAAGCCAGATTTCATCACCCACAAAATTCAGCTTTACGTTCGAAGATCATTTTAATAGCCCATAAAGATGCTAATATAGTATGCTCTTATTACTTACGGTCCATAATTCAGTCGAACATGACAATTAAAAACACTGACTTCTGTTTTGGCCATTAAGTGTTACCTACGAGCTTTTCCACAAGGAAATACTATGATAAATGCCTGAGAGCTATTCACAGATCTCAGTTCTTCGATGTAACAAGTAAGGACTAGAATGAACATGATTCAACAGTACAAAAACACGATAGACACAAGTCTTCAGTTAATTCACAGCCTAATCACACCAATATATTATGGTCACTATCAAACTCACTGATTAGCACTTTCGTCAGACCATTTAGGTGTACTGATCATTTTGTATTGTAACGAGAAGCAATTTCCATCTGTAATCGCGTGTATTTACAACTCCATTGAGAAGTGAGTTGCTAATGTCAGTCAAAACCAATATTTTATTTGGGAACAGGCAACCTATAAATCGACAATAAGCGGTGATAACTATTGATCTTGTAGGGCCAGTGAAATGTCACTGAGCCCTAGCCAAATCATCCGGCAGTTGGATCACTGAATGTCGAACAGATCATCGCTCCCTGCCAAGGTCATGTACAATCAACGCGCATTAGTTAATCATACGCCATGGACTGGCCCATGCGGCAGTGGCCTTACTTTCGCTTGTATCTACCTTAACTAATATATTTCTGTGATAACGTCCTCTGTGTTGTACAGTCTTCAAAGCATCTATGGTACCGTGATACGTCAATGGGGTAGTCCACGTAAGGTGCTGACCACAAGGTGTGACTTCGACATTAGCTAGTTTGTCACACCATTCATGTCTAACTCGAGTAGGCCTCCAATCATTTCGACATAGATCATCTACGTTGGTGATCTACAATCTGCCAATCTCATGGTCATCCTCTTTCTATGCCTTCATTTTTCCTTTGATTGTGTCTAATGATTAAGAGTACCTGGTCGTCAGGATACCTGATACCTCACTGGATATTCAACAGAACATGCAGACTTCACGAGACGATATGCAAATTAGGTAGCTGGATACCGCCATTTGAGTTTATTGTATGTTTAGTCTGGTAAATTGCTGATACATGCATGTCAATCACATTTTGATCAATCCTTTTATCCTTCTTCTTTAGGTAGCCTATTTAACCCCGAATATTACCATCTAGTATGAATTTTATTTATTCTACTGCACTGAATGAAAACCATTGGTACTAACAACGTCACCATCATTAGAACGGTCATCATCACTACCATACTAGTCATCATAGTATTAGCTAACTAACTTCTACCAAACCTACTTCAATTATGTTCCGGGATAGTTTTTGGTTGAGAAGACTTCTTCATAGGCCATTGGGTATTGAAATGACCTACAAGTCATGATGGCACCAATTTAAACTGTGACTCACGACCTTGTGGGTGACGGTGAGACTTGCCGTATTTCAAAAACGAAATAGAAGCATCCTCCGAACCGCTTCACCCTAGTTATTACTCATCTAATTAGTTATCCGTTTTCCTAGTAAATGAGTTGTCTAATTTTGGCAATACTGCTATCTGTACAAAATTACTGGCTGCTGAATACTCCAACGCCAAACTGAAATGTCGATGTAATTGAGTTTATTCATTTGTAATTCTCGAGCCAGTGTTGCCGTCTTAAGGGTTCTCGGCCTTAGGTTGGTGAAAAATATGAATTCACCCAGTCCGCTAACTTTGGGGAAGCTTAGGTAAAGTTGTGATTGGAGACTCCAGAATTTCCGCTAGGTTTTTTTCTTCAACTTGCTTGATAAAAACTCGCAAGACTAAGGTGCATTTAAAGTTTTTTAAGGTTTACTCAGAATTCTCACCACTTTTGTGGAAACCCATTGAACTTCATCGACACTTCCCAACATTTCTGATTAGACCCTTCTCGAAACTTAGTCCCACGAAAGGACCATCAGGACATAAGGATTGATTTATATACACGAAAAAAGCGCAGGTTGTAAGCTGGTGGGAGGAATCGATAAGTCTTCTGTTCAATGACTATGAAACTGATACTAAACTGATGATGAAACTACGAGTTGATAAAGATAATAACAATCTCCTAAATAAGTCACCATCATCTAACTAAGCCGTTACAATTTATAAATCTAGCTGCAACTCACATTCCTATTGGTGATTAAACTTAATCTCAAATGTCTTTTCCATGTGTTTTTTTATCATCTATAATACAAACTAGTATAATCAGTAATTCATGCCCATACCTCAGTAACAACGTGTGGGAACGTTTGTACTGATAAGTGGTCCGTTCAGTTAGTAGCAAATTATGATGCAACTGTAAATCCTTATCTAAAGTTCACCATTTTTAACAAAACTAAATTTCATACTACTGGAATTCGTAAAACCTAAAACTGGGATGAACTCACCAGTTTTTTAAGTCAGTAATAAATCGCACTCCGTAGTTAGACTTCATTGCTCCCCTATCATTCAGTTTTATAGTTGCATACTACAGAATGTTGATATTTTTGTTTGTCATAATGTATATAAAGTGCTTATTTCTCTTTCTTAAAGAGTTATTTTGACCTCAATTTGGAGAATGTCCTACTTTTCAAAACTGCGCAATGTACGCAACATTTTGTCTTGCACTATGCACTGTGGTCGTTATTCTAGTTCTTCCGAATCTCCAGAACAACTATCTCAAGTCCTAAATAAGCATTTGTTGGAACGTATTAACACTTTCGGACCCTTAACTGTAGCTGAATACATGAAAGAATGTTTATCTAACCCACTATATGTAAATTGTAAGAATTTCTAGTTGATTACCTTTCAGGGTTATTATAATACACACAGTGTTTTCGGAAAATCTGGAGATTTTACCACTTCACCTGAAATATGTCAAATCTTTGGTGAGGTAACCATGTTTCTTTTGCTTAAAATACTCTAGTAGTTGATAGGTGTATGGTTGCTGGAAGAATGGAAAAGACAAAACAGCCCTAAACACCTACAACTCGTTGAACTTGGTCCAGGACGTGGCACACTTTGCTCTGATATACTAAGGGTTTGTTTGATGAAAATATAATAATGTTTTTACCTTGATGGGTCATAATAATGTCATTATTTATTTTTATCTAAAGACCCAGTTTAAAATAAGTTTTGCAAAAGTCCATATGAATGATTAACGTTGTTTGGTTGTCGGTAATCGACCTGACCCTGAAATCTGTAGAATTTCCACGAAAACACTTCATATACATCGTTACGTGGTTTATATTCAAATACTTAGAGGAAGCTTACTGCTTTTGCTCTGATTGTCTGTGGACATTCGTTCATAGTAGTAGATAATACAAGAATATGTGTTTCTATGTTTATAACCTTGGTATTACTTAAAATTGGTCGCGGTAGCAAATAGATTCATTTTTTATTTTCTCTTGCATAGTAAGTCTAGTGATTACGTTAACCAATTTATGGTGACGGTTTAGTAGCCAAATTACTAGACTTTTAATTCACTGATTCACATATGCAAACACTTCATTCAAATATTATTATTCCTTTAATAGTGAAAGTGATTCTCAAAGTTAAGTGTATGAACCTGTATGTGGTTTCAATAAAGGTAGCATTTACTAACAGTCTCTTACTAGTTTATAGCTATACCATTGATTAATTTAAATAACATAGGTTTGTTAGTTATCGAGGTTAAAGTATAGTATACGGACAATCCAGTCAGAATTAAAATGGACTTCGAATGTTTGAACGATTTTCAAAAATGAGTGACTTTTATCTTTCACTACAAGTGTAATGGTAATGTCTTAGTATAGACATCAGAACGTTTTTATAATTACCGGATACTCACTTTTTTACACAATCTTACATAACACGTAAACAAACCAGTCTTCGTCTCAGTTTTCTTTGTTCATAGTTAAACTACAAAGAAATCATTTGATAACTGTTTTGATGAAGAATAGGAAAGCTGTTGAAGTAGGTATACTAAACTAAACACTTCTTTTTACGCATGAATTTCTCATGTCAGAATGGGGACAACGATAACTTTCCTATAACTCGATCTTCCCGACTCTTCAGAGAAGTTAGGAACAAAGATTTTGTAGTTAATAATGAATTTTCTGGGGAACATTTATAGTTATAAGAACAATTCGAAAACAAACCTTTTAGCCTGAAAAAGTTTGCATCCACACAGAGGAGGTTATGTAACGATACTCCTACTATATTAAAATCGGATAACCGATAATAACGCTCGATAAACTAATGAACTTCCTAATTGTACTAATCTCTGACAGATCTGATCATTTTTGTTACGAAATACTTCCTATATATGCAGATCATCTGCTCATTGACTGGAAAATGGCTTCAAAATCAAAACGTCATTTTAAAGATCCCTCAATTTCGTTCACATACCATATTTTGGCCGTTAGTGATTTACTAACTTACAAAAAATGTATCTTAATCAATTGTACTTCATTTTATTCCAGGTTTTTTCCAAATTCCCAGACATATATTCAACATTATCAATACACTTAGTTGAAATAAGTCAATCAATGCAACAGACTCAAAAGCAAACAATAGAAAAAACTCTGTCATGTTTAGATAATAAACCTCCACTTATATTTTGGCATACTGACTTACGCCAAGTTCCTGAAAAGTTCTCATTTTTTATAGGTCACGAATTTTTCGATGTGCTTCCAGTTCATTGTTTTCAGGTAAGTCATCATATATTGTAATGGCTTCATATACGCTTACAGAAATATGTTCTTATTTAAGTAGTTAGTAATAATCTAAAGACCATGTAATAAATGTGCTATTTTTATCCTTATAATCCCATACTCATGAGTAATTGTGATCTTTTATACATATGTGTCTTTTATAATTGATCTCATTTATTCCACTAACCGTGTACCTTTTGATGTCTATGCGTGTGTACTCATTTATCTTATCCATTATCTATTCTATATATAAACTTATACAAAATTATTTAGCTATCCAGCTAGTGTGCCGATTCCATCTTGTGTATGTTCATATTTTCTGCTAGTTTATGCTTGTACGAATACCTGAATTGTTTATGTAACATTTCATATGTCGGTCTTTAATACTGCGTTGCATACACGTCTCAAGTCAAGAAACTTATGCGAAATCAAATAAAGTCAGATGGCCCACTAAAATATTCATGCGACTCATTTACACAATATGATAGCAATATGCAGTTATGACTCTTTGTTCGCCTTATCATTCCCGTTTGTTCTTTTCTAGAAACATGAAGGAAAATGGCACGAAGTTTTAGTTAGCTCCATGATAAATTCTAATAGCTTATGTTTTGTACGTTCAAGCACAAAAACTCCAGCATCAATAGCATATCTTCCGGTAAGCTGCTTATTTCTGTTTATTAAATCATGTATTGAATTCTTTGATAATGAGTCCATCGTTGAGATATTGTAGGTCTCGTCATTAAGCCTAAACACCCGGTAACCGTTAAACCGTTGTATAATATTTATGGACAAATGGAACTGAAGTTTCATGTCACGTAGACTGACTTAAGTTAGAAAACTTTTGAAGACTAGGAGGCCACGGATAGCCGTTTCGTTCTAGTATGGGACTCTCCAACAGTGTGCACCAACGACCTCAAGAGAAGTCGAACCCAGGATCTTTATGGCTCGTGGTGAGCACCTAATGGTTTATACTCCGAGCTTCACTCTGCTCACGGTATTGTGCAGCCGTCATTCACTGCCATTAATGACATTTGTCGCACACTCTACTTGGACAAAACAAATGTCCAATGCCTTCTGATTTTGAATCACCGTTTAACCATAGACGGATGCACATATGTGCCTGGTCCTATGTTGTAGCTGACTGACGGATTAACCATAGTCAGTTCGTGATGTGATATTACAAATTCAGCAATCTCCACAATACTAAAATAAAAAATGGAATTACGCCAACGACTTTAGATAGGTCACTAGATGTACTACTAATGGATCTAAAATAATGAGCATCTAATCAGAATTTAGTTGTAAAACAAGTTGCTGAGCACTTAGATGCTAAAGCGTTTTCAAGTGGAAAATTACCCTAACATTTATTTTTTAAACATAATCGCATAGTATGTGATCATAACTAATTTCTGTGCATAAATTTAAGGTACTATAAACATTAGCATTTTATTTGTTAAGGTCCACGAGATTATCGTAACCGATGGTATGAGACGTTGAACGATATGGTTTAAAATCGGTCTCAATGGCTCATATGCATTTAATCTTTGTTGTCAAATACTCATACCTTTTATCCTATAAACTTATTTTCTCATATCATAATATTTATGCCTAATTTTTGTTAGTACTATCAATGCTATTGCTGCATATAGTAATCTGGCATTTATCATGAGAATTTCATTTCTTTATACTGATTACTACCAGTAATGTACTTATTTGAACTTTGAATTGATGATATTCAGTTTTATTTCAAATGTCGAGTCACATAGCTTCAATTTCACTTGAGTGTTATTATTTGGAATCGAAAAAAATCAGAATATTTTGTAAATACCTCTCAAAATCCATTAATTAATTACATTCGAAGGAATGAGATTAACATCAAACAGTCAACGGTAATCACGGATAATAATTGAAATAATTGTTTTATTAGAACTGAATAATTACTGGTAATATCGATCAATTACTTACTTACGCCTGTTACTCCTAATAGAGCATAGGCCGCAGACCGGCATTCTCCAACCCACTCTGTCTTGGGCCTTCTTTTCTAATTCCATCCAATTCTTGTTCATTTTTCTCATGTCTATCTCCATTTCTCTACGTAATGTGTTCTTTGGTCTTTCCCTCCTCCTTTGGCCTTCAGGATTCCATGTGAGGGTTTGTCTTGTGACACAGTTGGGTGCTTTCCTCAATGTGTAGACAGCTGTTAATAAACACCTGTATTTTCTGGATGATGGCTTTCGTAGTTCTCCAGGTTTCTGCCCCATACAGTAGAACTGTCTTGACATTCGTATTGAAAATCCTGACCTTGGTGTTGGTTGACAATATCGATCAATAAAATAAAGAAATTGTATGATATAAGAGTTACTTACAAGTAATATAACCGTATTAAATACGTCTCACAAATAGCCCAACTAATACTTATGGTATATACTTCTAAAATTTCCACTGAAACAAAAAAGTTGTTGATATAATCTTGGGATTATGCAATCAAGCGATATACGGTCATTCAACTTTGTCTATTCAACTAAAAATCAGATGTCAGAATAATGATATTATGATGATGTGTAATATAGAGTTATTAGAAGTAGTTCGGTCCCCGAATGCCCTGGTACGGCCGAGAGTGGGGTGAGTCCGCTCCCCCTCTCGAAATACTCTCACACGGCCGCGCGTATACAGCCTCTGCCAGGGAAGTCCTACTCATTGCCTTCTCGTGGCGGGGGTGTTGTTTACGAAAATGAGAGGACGAAAAGCGAATGTCCGGCGCTTTAACCGGATCACAAACCAATGGTGCACATGGGCTCCAGTATCCTGCGGGAACAAATGGCGTATGAACCAATCTTTGGTCACCGGCTACCATGGGATTGCATCTCCTTACGATGCTCCACTGCCTTGTGGGTTAGACCTTTAGGTCAAAGGCTCGGGGAGTGGCCCCCTAAGATAACCACCTGCTTCGGTTTGGGCACCCGGGCAGTATCACAGCCCACACACAAACGATGAACTCTATGTCTTTGGCAACTACTTTTATCGCTCCGAAAAACAATCAGTCGATTCAAATAATTATCATTACTATTTTTGTCATTATTAATACTATTATTATTACTATTATTGTCGTTATTATTATTATTATTATTATTATTATTATTATTATTATTATTATTATTATTATTATTTCCCACATTATTCACCCTCTTTTATACTTATACAGCAGCTCGTCTTTGGTGGAAATCCGACTGTATCTAAACGTTCTCGAGTCACTGTCCGGTTGAAAGTTGTATGTTACCATCGAATATGAGTACTGAAGCAGTTTTTCTGAAACCACGTGCGCCATTCAAACTGGCTGCCTTCAACGTTCGCACATTTATGCAGGTTGGTCAACAGATAGGGCTGGCTATGTCTTTGGAAAGTCTTAATATTGATGTTTGTTGTCTATCCGAGACCCGTATTCAAGACTCTAGCGAAGTACTACAAATTCGCTCTACATCTGTCACTTCAAAAAGCTTGTTTTACGTGCGCTTATCCGGGGACTCTGTGGCATCTTCGTCTGGTCTTGCTGGCGTTGGTGTCGCACTAAGCGCTAGAGCTGAGGCAGCACTAGTCGATTGGATCCCCATTAACAGTCGGTTATGTGCTGTTAGATTAGAAAGTTCCATCAAAGTGAGAAGAAATCGGCGTGAGAAACGATGTCTTTTCGTCATCTCTGCCTATGCCCCGACAGATTGCAGCCCGGATGCAATCAAGGATGAGTTTTTCCACCAGTTATCTGTTCTTCTCCAGAAAGTGCGTTCGACAGATATTGTATTGGTAGCCGGAGACTTGAATGCTCAGGTCGGGCGTCTAGGCACAGAAGAGAGTCGTTTAGGTGGCCGATGGGGACTCGTTGGTCGCAGGTCAGATAACGGGGACCGTCTACTGCAACTGTGCACAGACAACAACCTGTTTCTGGCTAGCACTAACTTTCGGCACAGTCATCGCCGATGTGCCACCTGGCGTCCTCCCTCTGCATCCCAAGCCTGGACTCAGATTGATCACATCGCGATCAGCTACCGCTGGCGTGGCTGTGTACAAGACTGCCGCTCCTTTTGGAGTACCTATCTGGACTCTGACCATGCCTTGGTCTGCGCCAATCTTGCCTTACTTTTCAGTGGCCAACGAAGTGACCGCCAGCAAAGGATTGATATTAGCAAGCTGGTTGCAACTTCTGTTGCAAATAAGTATCGAACCGAGCTAGCCTCTAGGCTAGCTACCACTCCACCGAAAAGTATAGATGAGCATTGGTTGCAATTGCATGACGCCATGAAAATGGCGGGAACAGTCAGTTGTGGGTTTGCGAAACGTCCCGCTTTTAAGCACTGGGTTTCTGCAGGTTCCTTACAACTCATTGAAGCCCGTCGGTCTACTCCGGGTGACCGTGAGTTTGACCATAAACGAAGGATGTTATGTAAGGAAATTGGGCAAAGCTTGCGTAAGGACCGAGAAGCCTGGTGGTCGAAGCGTGCTAATGAGCTGGAAGCAGCAGCTGCATCTGGTAATTACCGGAAGCTCTTCCATCTCATCCGAGCCACTGGCAGCATGAAGGCTGGTGTGAATGAAACAATCTGCGAGGATGACGGAACGCCAATCACTAACATCCATCGACGTCTTGGACGGTGGGCAGAATTTTTCGAAGGGCAGTTCAACTGGCCTGCTGCTCCGGCAACATCGGTCAGACTGTCCTGCCCTCCATGGCCGGTGACGACTGATCCACCAAACGAGGAGGAAGTCCGCAAGGAACTCCAACTCTTGAAGCGTTACAAATCACCTGGCCCAGATGACTTACCTCCGGCTCTTTTTAAAGATGGTGGTGACTTTTTGACTAAGGAATTGACGACGTTGTTTACAAAGGTTTGGGAACTAGAGAGTGTGCCAACGTCATGGAATGAGTCGATAGTTGTCCCTATCTTTAAAAAGGGTTCACGTCGTTCCTGTAACAACTATCGGGGGATAAGTCTACTTCCGATTGCGTGCAAGCTATTGGCTTCCGTCATACTTCGTAGGTTGTTCAAAACCCGAGAAAGATTGACTCGCGAGGAGCAGGCTGGGTTTCGTTCTGGTCGAGAATGTATTGATCATATCTTCACCCTCCGCCAAATGTTAGAACACCGCCATACTTACCAAAGGCCAACAATCGTAGTGTTTCTTGACATCAGGGCTGCCTTCGATTCGTTGGACAGAACTGTTCTCTGGGATTGTCTATTGAAGAAGGGTGTGCCTGAGAAGTTTATTAACATCCTAAAAGCCCTATATAAAAACACCTCAGGCAGAGTGAGGGCATCCAACCACCTCTCTCCATTGTTCCATTCGAGCAGTGGGGTTAGGCAGGGTTGCCCAATCTCACCATTCCTCTTCAACTTTGCCATCGATGACATTCTGGAAACAGCTCTGATGAATGTAAGTAATGGTGGTGTGGATCTGTTGCCTGGAGAAAGACTTCTCGACCTTGAGTATGCGGATGATATTGTCTTACTGTGCGATAATGCCCAAGGCATGCAATCCGCACTTAATCAGTTGGCAATCAGTGTCCGCAGGTATGGTATGTGCTTTGCACCTTCGAAGTGCAAAGTACTCCTACAAGACTGGCAGGATTCTAATCCTGTACTCACCCTGGACGGTGAGCAGATAGACGTAGTTAAGAAGTTCGTGTATCTGGGTAGCTGCATAAGTGCTGGTGGGGGTGTGAGTGATGAGATCAATGCACGTATAGTGAAAGCCAGAGCGGCTTATGCCAATCTGGGCCATCTATGGCGCCTTCGTGATGTTAGTCTGGCCGTAAAAGGTCGGATCTACAACGCGTCGGTGAGAGCAGTTTCGCTCTATGCTTGTGAAACCTGGCCTCTCCGAGTTGAGGACGTTAGACGACTCTCTGTGTTCGATCATCGCTGTCTCCGAAGGATTGCTGACATTCAGTGGCAACACCATGTAAGTAATGCAGAGGTTCGGCATCGTGTGTTCGGGCACACATATGATAATTCAATTGGTGTCACCATCTTGAAACACCGACTTCGGTGGCTTGGACATGTTCTCCGAATGTCGTCCCAGAGAATTCCCCGTCGTGCATTATTTGCCGACTCTGGGACTGGTTGGAAGAAGCGGAGAGGTGGTCAGTGCATGACATGGTGTCGTGGCATGAAAGAAAGCTGCAAAGGACTGGCTTGTGTTGGTCCTTCACGACTCCCTGGTTGGGGTCTGAGAGATGGTGCTACACAGTGGCTAGAGACGTTATCAGATATGGCTCAGAATAGAAGCCAGTGGCGATCCTGCTGTAACCTTCTTTTACTTTCTTCATAAAAAGTGGTTCTGTCTCCCTTACCTGAAAGATTTCTTCCGATTGTACCTTTGCGTTCCCTGATTACTAGCACATTACCTTACACCAATCTCTTCGTTATTGTTCTCTCTTTTTTTGTTGCGCTCCTTATTTTTTTTTCTTTCTTTGTATTCCTCTCGAATTTTCATTGTTTTGTGTGGCGCATATATATTGGCGCTCTATTGTACCAATATTCATGTGTCCAAATAAATAAATAAATAATAGAAGTAGTTCGGGAGTTCAATGAATGTACAATTTAAAATAATTTCTTATTATAGTTGAATATGTCAGTTTTTTTACTGGACTTTTGAAAACAAAAGTGACATTTTTAAATCATTGAAATTGATTAGAGAGATTTCATTTTATAAGTAGTCACTGAAACCACCCTGAGAATAAAGCTAGACAATAAACAAGTCTGAATAGTGCGTAAGATAATAAAGGTTACCAGAACTATGTGATATATTTAGACAGTACATTTAAAACAATCTGATCACACATATACTTTTCATAACATAAATCAGTGTAACCATTAATGATAATTTACACGATAAGCCTTGTCAATCCTTATCTTCTTTTTGCGTTGAATATGTTTTAGTGTACAAAGCTATCTCCAGAAGCTACCTATTTTTGACATTATTATAACTTGCAATTTCGTAGCCATATGTAAAGTTTATGATTGTATAAAGTGTCTTTTCATAGATATTTGTGTCAGTCTAGTGACTAAGGCACTCGACTTTCAGCCACCAAGTCAAAAGTTTGGACTCAAATCCACTTATTTCGGTTCACAAAACCGTGTAGTATCATTAGCTTTCACATTTAAATTGTTTCACACTCAAGTACCTGGTTAATGAGTTAATGAATCAGATTTATAGTATTAGATGATTGCAAATTTCTTTCAATTATTTCCTATAGTTAGTTCCTAATCTGTCGAACCGAAACTCTGTGGAAATCTGTCCTGATATGATATGTATCACACAGTTATTATGCAAACGAATTAATAAAACGGGTGGTAGTGCACTGTTGATTGATTATGGTCATGAAGGTGAAAAAGGTGATACATTTCGTGTAAGTCAAAGTCTTTGCATATTTCATTTAACAAGTTTCAGTATCATTTCATGCAATTTGTTATAAAGACTCAGTTCATATGATAAAATACTGAAATGATTGTGAGGTGGTAGTCAAAATTACAACTCCTTCATAAAATCGTTCACCCTCGAATCTCAACTGAATCACTTGATTTGTGTGTGGGCTATGATACTGACCGGGTGCCCAGACCGAAACAGGTGGTTCTCTTAAGGGGCCACATCCCGAGCCTTCAATCTAAAGGTTCGACCCACGAGACAGTGGAACAACATCAGGAGACGCAGTCCCATGGTAACCGGTGACCAATAGTTGGTTCATACGCCATGTGAGAGCATTTTGGGAAGGGGAGTTGACTCTCCCCACCCTTGGCCGTACCAGGGCATTTGGGGGCTTATTGTATCAAAAACATAGCTTGGGAACTTTTAGTGGCCCGAAATCTGACTCTATTTAGATCGTTTCTGATTGCTGTCTAAATATACATATCGCCAATCCTCGTACATAATTATCGACTTAACTTGCGTTAGTGAATAACAGAATTAAATAAGTCAAATACGAGAATGGATTTTTGAATATGTATATTTCGTATAATCGTTGGTTAGAAAGCGATGCAAAACGAAATGACGCCTGGTGAAGGCGAGTGAGCCAACTCGATTTCACCAAATGTGAATCGATGTTTATATTCAGACAAAATTAAGTTACAGACATGTGATAAGCACGATAAGAAATGCACACACATACGACCATATAAAAAACAGTCAAGGTTGATAAGCGAGTAATTAACAAGGTCAAAATGTGACTTGGAAAGAATTAATAAATCGCCCAGTTAGAAAGCTAGAATTAGCTATGTGGGCTTGACATAACAACCGACATTACAAACTCCTCTGTTGTGTTTCTTCAGTCTTTACACTTAATCCAACTTATTTACGAGGTAAAAAATCATGCGCTTGGCTTTAGACCATATTGCATGTGTTAGGTTAAGTGGTACCACCGTTTGATCAAGCCGGAACAGGTGGTGAAGTATTTGAACCTGGGACTTAGTCGCTGAAAGATGAATGCTTTAACCATTGATCTACCATTGTTTACACAGTCAACGTGTTCATGTATAAATCTGCACTGAAAAACTTTTTTCCCATTACAACACTAATGCATCCTCTCTTCTATTATTTTCCTTACAGGGTTTTCATAAACATTCAGTTTGTGATCCTCTCATCAATCCTGGTCACACTGATCTAACATGTGATGTTGATTTTAGTATTTTATGTCAGGCAGTCAAAAACTCCGATGCTAAAGGTTTGTTTATTATTTAATTCATGTATATTTTATTCTATGTTATTCTAATTTAAAACACAATCATATAATTGTGTTTTAATATTCTAATTTCTTTTTATAAAAATTAAATTAATGCTTTCCTGATTAGCTTATTTGTTTCAGTGATTAATAATTATGATCATATTATAGTAAATAAAACCGTTTGCATATAACTCCTTACTAATGTTATTGATTATCAGATTGATACCATTGATCATGAAATGAATTAGGTAACTGCTAAGGAGAGAACCCAGGTTATCCAGTTCTTCTTTTAAAGTATTACCCGGGTTTCACTTTGTAATATTCGCCTTTTGGTAGTTTCGCGTCTAGCCTGAAGGTACTTCGTATGTTGGGAGAGTTTCAAAGAGGAGTGTATTAGAGAAGCCGACAGAAAAAAGTTAGTCTGATAACTCAATAAGCACATAGAATGCACTTACATTTAATAACGAAAGCAATCAACAACATTTAGACGTAACACTAGTGTTAGATTAAAACGATCGGATAATGGAAACTAGGAGTTGATAGCGTAAGGTTTTGTATGCGTTGCAATTTCTCTCATTTGAATGTACATAATGATGTTTGCTGTCGTCCGATTGGTTGCTCGTATGCATAAGACTGTACTTGATAAATAAATTACATGATTTTCAAATATATACGGTGACATGTCTAGCTGTCTTAAACTACAACATCGTTAATTAATCGCACTTGAAAGCGTATAACTACCGAACCTTTACTCAAGAAAAAATAATAACGGCTCTCATTAACCAATAAGACATTTCGAGATTTTTCAGTCCAATCATCGAAATTCTTGACTTTTAAACCTGTTTTGAATTAAACTACTGCATTGTACCATTAGTTTATAACCTTAGTACACTATTCTGTATAAGCATATTAAGTTCCTTTAAGTACTTTCATTCAGTAAGTCACACACAACGTAGAATCTGGCATATATGCATTGATTAAAGTTGCCAAACTACCTCAGAACAGCGGGATACTTGAGTAACAGAAGTAGTAGTTATACCGGTCGTTGGAGAAGAGGTTAGACTTAGGCGGAATGGTTCTGTAAAGAAGCATAAATTCTCAGGATAAAAAAGGCACAGGATTCTTTCAAAACTCAGAACCTGAAAGAAGACAAAGATTGAGTCCATTTACGCTTTTGCGTACTATTGTAAATCATTTCACCCAATGTTTCTAACCACTAATTACAATAATCTCGCGAATCCTAATTAAGTAGCTTGCACTTGTATACACAATTCAGTCCAATAGTCAACGATGTTATGGACTAACACCACATCAAATAATTCAACTCCTCTTTGCATTTTTCTGAAATTGTATGTTGATAAAAGCAGAATAATTTCTAACTGTGTAATTCTCTGCTTCATATCTCTGTTTATATTTTAACTAGTGAAATTTTATTTTTCCTGATACTCTAGTAAAACTTCATGGCCCTGTAACTCAAGCTTATTTTCTTATCAATATGGGTTTATTCACTCGATTAAAGGTAACCATTAATAAATGATTGAATTTTTTTAATTGTCTCTCTCCCTATGGATTTGCTTTTTTTTTTCAAAGTTCTTACATTATAAAGACATTTAAAAATTATTAATGTTATCTGCTTTGAATTTCAACAAGAGTACTTCAGCTTTGCATAGAGTATGATTTAAAACACAAAAATTATTTCCCCTTTTTAGTCACTTACATTTCAACCGGATCGGTCACTCAATATTTTAACCGAATAAATTAATTAATTGATAATCAAGTCATATAGTTTGACCTGTAAAATATGTCGTTAGTTATTCCAAAAACCCTGGTTCAACTGTAGTTTCAATGTATACTCTTGTTCGCTTATTATTATTCCCTTTATATAATTGAATATTTTTGTAAGTGATATTCTCCGTGGATCGATATGATTTAAGGTGCTGTTGAAATATGAGGAACAATAAATAACTGCTTTGTCCTAGTATTTTTGAAAATACCCGACAGTGTTCGCTCAGGACATTTAAATCTCACAGTGAAGATGATACCTGTAGATTACTACCGAAATGGAACCCAATGGTTTGTAGTTCTAATTTCAAGAAATTCGCAACATCGTGTAAATATTACTCAGTGTTGTCGGTGACGACTTGATTTTCAATAGTACCTCAAATAATGTAAATCTGTAACAACTACCAACTGCAAATTAATCTTCACGATTCCCTTAATTGAACAGATTTTTTTTACCTAAAATATAAGTTTTTATCATATTAGGCCTTAAGCACTTATCTTAGTACTTTTTTGGGTAATGTACCGAGCATAGTCCGATCTGTACTGCTCATGAAGACTAATAAAGGTAGCATGAATGAAATTTATTTGCCTATGAATTTAACAAGTTTAAACCTCCTAACTCATGACGATCATGTTGAAAACAACCAATACCCTTGTTCCATTGTACATGTAGATCCAGCGAATTTTAAATGTTTTTGAAGTGACAATATAGGTAGAGATGTTAACCAGAGGTAAAGAATTTGTTGTACTTAATCCGAAGAAGTGGTAATAGATAGTATGATCAGCCTTCACGTGGATAACAGATGTACAGTTCTTAGCTTTAGTATATGTAGATATGCATGAATGATAAATTGCTTCATCTGGTAAGATAAAAATTTATTTCAATCAATATCGCTCTACTGTGTTTTCAGCTTTTAACATTGATAAACTTATCACTTCACATATATTGGTTGTTCGAACCTTTCCATTGTTGTTTAGGGCTGTAGTTGATCAGTCTATTCCGGGATATGTGCATTATGTGCGGATTGCCTCGATATTGTCGTTGATTCACGAGCACTATTAAGCAGAGATGGATAGTGGTTAGTATTAGAATTCAGGACGCACCTTTTGTCTTATTTGAGACTCTTCATCTGGATGTGCCAAAATCCCAACGTCGATGTTCACTCCGTGACTCGAACTCAATACCATTCGCTTCAAACTCTATCTCTGCTTATAATAAAATTGTTATCTTAAGATAAAAGATTTGTAGAAATTGTTTAGCTTGAAGTTGGTTTTCGTCATGGACACTGAAATCAACATTAGATACTCATCTTGTGTTGGTTTAAGACCCTTCGGTGGTGTTGACTTTATAGCCGTACACATATGATCGTACTCGTGGCTTTCACTGCTCATAGTTAGTAAGATATTGACAAATCGGTTACTCGAACTCTAGCTAATGACTTCTTAGCTGTTCCATAGATCTCCGAAATTGTCCTACAATTCACTTCTGTATGTTAGAGAAAAGGTTCAAAGTAAGGACAGAAGCTGTACTTTAAGATAAGCTAATGTACAGATGAAAATGCTATTTATGGGTTTATTGGAGGCTTTTGACCCCTGTAAACTTATGAAAGGATCCTAAACTTTGCGACAGGATGAGTAATCATCTAATCAGTGTCCATTTTCTAGGAGTTTCTAGGGTGTTTTCGCTAAATGCTGACTACACAACATGTCTTTAGCCTTTTCCTGACCACCGAAAACATTATTGAGAAATTCTCAGGAGATCTCAATAGACATGTACTCGAAATCTAATGATTCCTACTTTCAATAAAGCTACAGATTGTCTCATGACATATTCAATCTATTTACTTGTTTATTTGTTTTCACTTACTTCATTTACTCTCTATAGGTTTTATTGTCTAAATGTGAATCAGAACAACAAAAGGATGAATTGTTTTCAGCGTGTGAAATCCTCGTCACCAATGAACAAATGGGTAGTCGATTCAAAGTTGTTGCAATCACCCCTGAGCTAGAATCAGATTCTGTTGGTTGTGAGCAACAACTACCTGGTTTTACTCCATTATCTGGTACACCATATGCACAGCCGAATTCTGTATAGATAATGTGTTTTTTGTATAACTTCCCTTGTTTATTTATCAGCTAAATATCTAAACTCAGTCCATTAGCTTTGTACATATAAAACTCAAATATATGTTTATTATTGTATATATGTATGATCTGATGACGAGTTATTTTCTAAAAATCGATATCTTCAGTAAGTCTAACGGTATATAAGTTGTATACTGAACATTTATTGTTTTCAACACAAGCCAATGTTCCATCCCAACGCCATCTGTTACTTGAGATCTAGTGATTTCATGCTAACTTCACTGTATCTCGTAAAAATCAATACATGAATATGTTCTAAGTGAAATATAAGTAGATCTTTTAAACATGTTTATTCTTATTAGCGCCTAATATGCTTTGCCACATCGTCTATCAGTTATATACCTAATAGTAATAATATAAATACCATAGTTTATTTTTGAACAACATAATCATATCTCAGAACAATGGTACTGACATTGATACATTAGTTTGAATAATTAGATGGTTAAGATTTGGAAATCCCCACAAAATCTACCTTGACCTAAATGCGTAAATAAGTATTACACTTACAAATTTAATCTATGACGACCAGTTAGAAAGCGGACTATCCAATCCTATTGGCTAAAAATAAATTTAAATGTAAAATTTGATTAATATATATCATCAAATATGATTAGTTGCTTATTGAAAATGAAACGGACACTTACCTACGACCATATATAATGATTAGAAATTATCTAAAACTAGGGTAATACTAATCATTGGCTTCTGACTCAATGACTGACTGAATTCTTTTGCATCATGAAACCTAAATATCATCAACGTAATAATTTACTAACTGGTGAGAAGTCTTAAACCAGGACTTAACATCTGCACAGTGCTCTGTTATTCTCAATGACTTTAGCAGATATCAGTCAATAGAAAAAATACTATATTTGTATCCGTCTCTCTTAGGGTTAGAAGTGAAATCATTCCTAGATTTCTATCAGTTATTTAATCACAATTTGTTCAAGAGAATAAATTGAAATATTTTCACCTTTTTAAACTGTGCCCACTATACTTTTTAGAGAATCTGTAAGTTAAATAGGTATGTTGTGATTATGAAACTGTCTTTCCAACAGTTCTTCAGAATTGTAAACAAAGAAAGTATGACATCTCTTCTTCCTTATTGCTCATTCACTTATTATCGTAACATTTAGCCAGTTCAGTTATCACCAAAACGTCTTCAGATAATAATGATAGTAATAATAATAAAGGTTCAGTAAGATGAGATAAAGTTAAATTATGCAGTAAGAAATTAGACTGGTGCTTTCCTTAACAAAATTCTAGAATTATTTGAAATTAGTTCATCAATGAAATTTTCAAGCATTTAAATAAGTTAGTTCATAAATAGTTAAACTACAGTAGAGTTCACTGGTTGAAACAATAATTCATATGTTGATACATTCAAAACCTTGTAGCTTAGAGCTGGGTACGCAAACCTGTATTGGTAAGCAACTTACATTGATTTTTTAGGCGATCACGAAAACAAATTATCTCTAGTGTTTATTTGATTACAAGGAGATCAACAAACTATGTTTCTAATTTAGTTGCTATCATACGTTTAAGTTGAAGAACCCGACAGAACGACTTCTCGATTAATTTTAATCCAAGTACCAGGAAATGAATGATAACATATTTTACACTTGAATTAGCACTGTAGGATTAGTAAAGAAACTTCCATTTTTGCTTTCTCAGTTATTAGGGGCTGTTTGTACAGTTATTGAGAAATACAATCCAGAATGTTATTCTACGTTAATGCGCTCACTGTTGCGTTGTCGTTTCAAATCTCAACTAATCCATCATAATATATAGGTAAAGTGACCTCTCAACAGCATGGATCAACATTGACTGGTAAAAATTTTTATACAGCTTCTGCTAACTGACAGGTTAATATTGTTCAAATCGACGCTATCTGACGCTTCCCTTAAACATTCAAGACACCTCTGTTTTGTTCAACATACAGTATGCAATAATTTTGTTCTATGTGATTCGGCAGATTTTTTCCCTAGATAGACCACATGGTATATCGTGCATTTACTTCAGTAAGATGCAAATGTTAGCGAGATATTGTAAGTGAATTATTTACCTAGCTAAGTCTACTGCCCACACATTCTCCTGTTTAAGTCTTGGATATATATATATTTCAATTATCGTTATTTGACTTATCATGCAGCCAGTCTTTCCATTCTGAAAAACTGGTTTGCTAAACATGGAAGTGTGTTAGCGGCTGAATAAAACGGTACAACATAAATCATTTGAGTTTTCCAAGTTCGAACACTTTGCTTGAAAAATATTTATAACGAGAGTATTTGCAAATTATGCACTATATATGAAGAAGCCATTTGTTGATGAGTCCCAGAAAATTCTTCGAAATCAGCGCAAAGGGGTCCTAAAAACACTGAGAAACTTTTTATCCAATAAGCATTCAACAGAAGTTTGCCAGAAACATCTAGAGAGTGAAATGTCACTGATCGGATGAATACCCATCCCGCTACTATTTTTAGAAGGGTTCCATAACTTTCCAGCAGCACAAGGTCATCTAAAATGCTGCAAATACCCTAGATTTTCTGTACATAAACTAACCTTGGAGTAAAACGTTCTTTCCATATTTCGTGCCTTTTCTCTCGTATTCAAGTTGCTGAGTAGATTTAGCCTAGGGGTTATCAGAAGAGTTTAAAAAACAGGATCAAGTGTTCAATTAGATTTATCTTTATTAGTATCGTAGAATAACTAATTATATTTAAATGAAATGATTATATTGTTTAAGGAAACGACACCAAAAATAAAAACATTCCCTTCACTGAAATTGTAAAATGAAAATCCTCAATACTCCACAATGGTCATAAATCGACTAACTAACGAACAAAGTTAAGAGAGACTATTCATGTATACAAACTAAGGATTATATTGAATACAAAAAACCCCTAACTAATAATACTCAATACTGTAGTGAACAGAACACGAGTGGGGGCAACCGAATGTATTCAACACAAAACTACTGGACTTGTTAATAAAATCTAACAATCATAAAATAAATGCTTAATTTGCAAAATGTTCACCAATTGTTTCAAAATGACTCAGACTTCATTGTTCTTGCATTTTCATACAAATTGCAGTCTGTTTCCATTCTTTACTGTTCGATCTTCTTGTCTCTCTGCTGCCAGACCTTCTGTTCACGACTAACAGCATATACTACTTATGTCAATATAAGTAGCACACACCACACATATCATAATAGTCATTTGTATTTCAGAAAATTATCAATGAAATCTGTCAATAACAATTATTACCAAATTCACCACTATGTTATTACTGACTAATCTTCTTTTTTTTAAATTTTGTAATTTCCAAAGACAATGTTTATCCAAATGATAGAATCTTTTTAAAGATTTTTTTACTGTTAGCTACATACACACTAATTTACTCAATAAATTTTCATTCATAAGATGATAGATGGTGTAATATGTAGTGTATGTATCCCCCTATGGGTATACAGGTATGGTCACATTAAATATGGGTCAGTTAATAGTTGAATTGAATTCTTTGTGTCTAATTCCATTCTTGATTTTTTTTCCTTTGACATATCAATAAGTATCAGATTTCTATTATTATTATTATTATTATTATTATTATTATTATTATTATTATTATTATTCCCTCAATCGTTTTAATTAGAATTGAACAATGTACACGGTTCCATATTTTGTTCGTTTTAAATTTCTGTCCCCAATTTATTTTGCTTTTTGAATAAATACTCTTCATTGAAATAAGTATGAATGAATAAAGTTTATCAGTTTATGATTAATTGGAACTATTCAACCTGAATGAATTCATTATGTCTTGTTAGAGAATGTTTTTTTTAAATATTAATTTCATGCAAAAAAATGAAAGAAATCCATACACTATGCTAGATGGAGGTGTAAATCTTGTCCTATTTCAACTTTCTGTTTCAATTAAACATATTTAGTAATTGAATTCATGAGTCATTTGAAGCTAGATCATCGACACTGGTAGGTCCTGGGTTCGAATCTCACGAGGCGGGATCGTGGATGCACACTGTTGAGGAGTTTCATACTAGGATGAAACGGCGGTCCAGTGCTTCCAGGTTTTCCATGGTGGTCTAGCTTTGATTTACTCATGAATTCAATTATTAAATTACTACAATCTCCACAAAACCGCTCTCCGATTATAAACATATTTGTTAGAAATCCTTGGTTTTCATGTAAAATCATTATTTTTCATATTGTTTATAATGAGTTGTATTCAGTTAGTTAGCAGGTCGCTTTTGTCACGGATTATTATCTGCTGAAGAGTCATTGCATAATCAGAGAGCTATCTGAATAGTTGTTTCGTCATGTTTTCTAAGGAATTTTATCTACAATCCAAAATTTTCAGATTATGAAGGAAACAGTCTATCACTAAATCACTAAGATAAAACTTAGTAGTTCATCTACTTTAACTTATCCTACAGTGAGTAAATCACAGTTCAAATAACTCATTGGTAAATGATATGACCGCGATACTACTGGGTGATACAAGTTCGAATCATATGTAGATTATCAGTTTCCTCAAGGCGTAGATACACTATGCTGATGAGTATCAATTAGCACCAAAGCATTGACCTAGTAAATATTATTACTGGTTGTTCATAATCACTTGATTAGTAGGCAGTTTTTGATGATCAGTCATGTCATTTCCGTTTTGATCAACTCCATAGACCACAATTTATCATTAAAAATGTAAGAAATGTATCTCAAAGTTACTACTTATTATACTGTTATGAATCATTTATATAAATGGTTTTGTGGAAATTTATAAAGTTTGAATATGGTTTCTATCATAAACTTATACCAGCTAGTCAGTTGTTTCAAATATACTATAGATTACTAGTAAGGGCTTGTGATTCTTTGCTGTTAACATTGAGAACTGAAATTGATTAATGTCTCTTAGACCAAGTAGCTTAGTGGATAAAGCGTTAGATTTTGGAGTGATAAGCATTGGGTTTGAGTTACAGTGTAAACATTGACATTAAGATACATGTGTATCCAGCTAGATCCTAAGTTGAACGAGACC